ATAAATTTGCATTTGGACAACAGGGAATGAGGAACATATATGGAAAGAAAAAGTTTATTATTCAAGAAGGAGTAAATTTGTAAAGTGAAAATTCAGAAGAAGACATAATAAAGTGACTATATACGTACTACCTTTAAACTCTAGTTTTTGAATTATTATGAAAAATACAAATAACTTTATATAATAATAGAGATTTTAAAAGATAGAGTATCTCAACACAAGTTTATGCACATGCAGAGGAATGTTGATTGCACAATGTAATTAAATGACTGCTACTTGGTTCCCAATGTCCAAAGAATTCCCCCACTGTTTATAATTCGTTCTTCTTTTATTTTGAGTTCTCTCTAGGACTTTTTAAAAATTCAGTATTTAACTACAATTCTTGGAAGAATAGCATATCAATTCCTTTACACCTCAGTATAAATATGTTATCAGATCAATTCCCTCCTGTACCAATAAATACTGGAATAACTTTGATAAAGTTAGACCCCAGTGGCAGTGTCAGGAAGAAGAGAATGCTTACTAGGCACTCTAAGAAAGCTTAAAATGTCTGAATTAGGAAAAAAAAATGTAAATAAAAACCATTTTGACACAAATCAATACCAACCAAACTTTACTAATTTGAAATTCCTTGTGTTTACTTTTCACTTGTTCTGCCAAATTGAATCCCTTTTCTTGTTATGGTACACATTCACTATGATGTGTCCAACATTTCTCTTTGAAATGCAATCCAGTGAAATATAATGTGGTGAAGAGTAAAGGGTCTGGGTGGCTGAGATTTTCTCCAAATGGAACTTCTATATGTTTACTAAGTGAATACATTTCAAATAAATAATTCATAGAGTTATCAGATATAAGAAACATGGCCCTAAGAGCATACCAGACAGTCAAGATCTTTGCAGTAAAAATCCAGCAGAGAAGTCGCCTACCCTAAGATGCATAATTTGCTATATAATCTCACTACAGAGTAGTTTTTAAAATTATGGTATACAATACTGGCAAATTCTTCTACTGCTGCCAATTCTGATGGAACAAGCTATCAATCTAATTTAAAGTACAATGATTACATATAAAGCCATACTTCTTTTGCCAGTTCTACCGGAGCAGAAAGGAATAAGTTCAAAGAACAATACCCAACTCTAGGACAGGCAAATGTTTCAAGGTTAAATGTGATTTTATTGTGATTTTACTTCTAATGTTTTAGCAGGTATTACTGGATATATCATAAAAACCTCAAGGTAATTTAATCTCTGACAAAACACTTCGCCATCTGGCCTAGTTCTCTCTAATACCTTCGTGAGTTTTCCCAAACTGATAGCAAAAGAGAATCATTTGTTGCATTTCTTGATCCCCTTGTGACCTCACATTTAACAATTTCTTATTAATACATCTCATGTGCTGATATTACAGAATATAAAGGAATGCAAATGATCTGACTGGTGCAGTTGGAAAAATGTTATAATTGCTAGAAAATGAACATGGGGCCTCTAATTACATACATTAATAGGACAAAGATGCACAGTGTTCTGCTTATGATGCTTTAATGACATCAGTTTTATGATTGGGATTTCCATCATTTCTCATATCATACTGTGTGTCCTATTAGGCAATTAGTAAATTGATTCAAACTGCACAGGATGGTTTTAAAATCCAGCCACATTTGTGCTGATGTGTATTTCCTTTTCTCTTTAGATTCTCTTATGACAGGAAACGCCCTTGAATGCTACTCAGTAAATAACACAAGTATGAATTTTTCATCAGAACACCACTAATATCTTGGTACTGAAGTATCTCTTCTAGGATGGCCCTGGATTTAAAATGTGTATTGAATCTTTTTGGCTTAATCTATCCTCTAAAATAGAGGTGCATACCTAACACAGGCTAAAAGAGCTTATGAAAATGCATCTAATCAGATTTGATACCTACAGGGCATATGAAAGGCCATAATATCTAAAAAATAAAAATAACAGAAACAAAAGAAAAGCAAGAAAATTATTTCTGAGCTATTACTATTTCAGGTGAGAGTAATGTTAGTATATTGTTACTTTACTGAAAAGCAACATTCACAGCATGAATGAAAAGCAGTATCTACAAATAATAATTTTACAACTGTATATGCAAAGTTGTTTGGGGGGAAATGACTTTTCTTTAATGTACTTGATAAATGTCTATTCAAAATGGAAGAGAAAAATTGAAAAATGTACAGTAGTTTTTTACATCTCCTTTTAGATACTTTGATTCATTGGATAAGTTCTCTTCATGATTTTTTTAAATATAAAATTGTTTTATCTTCATGATCTAATAGTTTTACGACCGATGGAAGCATTTTTCTCCAGGTATAGTTTATAATCTTAGTATCTCATATTTTCCTTTTTTTTTAATTTCAGACATTTGGAGCTCCCGTAGGAGGTCTTTTACCAGTCAATAAGGTCATTAAGAGTCAGCAGTATGGTTTTATAGTTCAGTGAGGTAAACAATTTATTCATTTCAGACATGGAAAAGATCATGCCAATCTTCGGTGACTGCCATTAGAAAGGAGCTTCCGTTATGTTTCTATAAGTTGGACTTTGTACATGTAATTTGCCTCATTGTGTCTTGTGTGTGTAGCAGTTAAAGCACCAAATCATTGTGATTACTTTATCATGATTGAAACTCAGATTCCACTGTAGAATTATTGCACTTTATTAAATAGATTGATTAACATATTGCCAGCAACATTGAATTTTGTCTATAAGGCAGGAGTAAAATAAATAACATGCAGTAAATAATATATGTGCCTATTTTCTGAGCTCAAAATCTTAAATTATTTCCACATGATACGAACTAAAGTTGTGCATCTGCTGTAGGCATTGTATTATCTCTTTAGTCTCTTTGGATGGCAAGATGATAGTCATACATAATTGCAAAGTGAAGGAAAAAAAATCATTTAAGAATAAATATAGACAATCCCATGTGTCACTTCGTCATTTTACTTTAAGGACAATAGTATCCGATTAGAATTTTCATGATCAGTTGGGAGATAGAGATTGTTGCCATAAAATGTATGGTTTTTATATACTTCTCTGTTGGGAAATATATATAATAATTATTTTTAAGGTATTGGGCTAAGCACTGGGATGGATACAATAAATAAGGAACATACCTTTAATTTGAAAATTTGTATTTGAAAAGGACTAACAAAGCATGGTGGAATAGATCTAAAGACTTGAAAAGCCTTGATCTCTACCACCAGCAGTATAAGATTGGACAAAATGCTCAATATTGTTGAGCCAGAATTTCACTGATCAAGCCCTAGGCATACACAGGGGTATTATAAAGATAGAATGATAACATATTATATAAAGTACTATGTATCTGGAGATACATTTTTGGTGTCTTATGTATTTATCTGTGTGTTTTAAATACCAACAGAAAAGGGTAATTAGAGAGGAAGAGATTGAAGAAACAAGAAAGAGAGGGTATTGACGACTCCACATTATGAAAAACCTTAGAAGAGATAGTACAGATTAGAGATTAGTCTCAGTTTCCTAAGAGACTGAATAGAAGACAACAACTCTAGATGCAGAGACAGACATGTCTATAAGAGGATAGGGAATCAGTAAAGAAAATTCCTGCCTGGTAGCTTCTACTCATCTCTCCTAAATAGGAATCAAGATTCCTTGTTGTAAAGTTGTAAGAGAATAAGGTAAAGTACTTCATATGGAAACAGAAGGCTCAAGATAGTTGTTGAAATAAATAAATGAATAGCTGTTAAATTTTGTGACTATCTTTGTTTGTACACAGGTATAAGGAAGTAGAAGGCAATTATTAGTGATTTAAGGTTGCAAGAGGATTATAGGAAAAGACATAGAAAGGCGAGGAGTAAAAGGGATTGAGGCTATTAGGCAATGGACCTTTGAAGTGATGAACTCTGTGTTTAGATAAAGAACAAATGCCTAAAAATCAGCCCAGAGACTGGAAGAAATAGTTGAATGTCAAGGGACCGAAAGTTTTGATAAGATCAAAGAACAGGTGTGCAGGGATGTCTAAAAAGAAATGATGCTATATTCAAAAAGGAAGATCATGGAACCTCAGCTTTCTAATCCTAACATGTGGAGGCTCCATTTCATGGGAGAGAAAAGCTCACGATCTGGCCATGGAGATATAAGTGAAAGACATAGCACACACGAAGTAAGGAATAATGAGACTCAGGATATTTTAGAGATATTCATATGGTGAAATCACACAGGGTACTAGAAGCTGGAAGGATGAGGATAACTGTGAGATAGGAATCAATGCCCTCAATAAATGTCTGAAATATAAGTGAACATTTACATTTTTATATTTATGTAAAATTACTTTACATAAATTTTGATGAAAAGTAAGTGACAGAAAGAAGGATAGAGTTAGGGTGGTCAGTGGCTCCCGTTTCGTGTTGTAAAGGTTTTTGTATGAATTTTAGAGGCCTAGGAGAATATTCCCAGTCTCCAATAAAGTAAGGAACTCTAGGGAATGAGCCCCTCCACTGGACAGATCTGCAAGGAAAATTATATTCTCAGGGCATAACCATGTTTCTGACTATTCCTGTGAATGATCATCTTTCTATAATAAAATATAGATAATATACAGAACCTTCTATAATATAATGTAATAAGATGTACTATTTGTAATTCTGAAAATGTTCTTTCTAATCATAGACAATAAAAAATTATAGACCCGAGTTCAAACGAGTGTTAAATTATGCTGAATCATAGTTACTTGACATTAATTCAGTTAATTTAATGACATTAACATTTGCTTCTTTTTATTACCCTCTGTGTCTAATTGAGACATTGGTTGCAGTGAACTAAATGAACTCTTGACGTAGTATGTTTCTTTGCGTTATGGCCTTTGTCAAACAGTTTCGCCTCTATTCTCCATCATGTTTTACATTTGGATTTAAAACGCACATTATTATGATAAAATGGCTTCCCCGTCATTTTCCCACAAGCCTTTTCTCATTTAGTTAAATATTTCTTCAGGGGGCAAAGACTCCATCGATTTTGAAGCGAGATCAGCATGCAGATAAGATTTTTAGATCATATTGAAAAATGAAAAATTGGACTCCTCATCACTCTTTCCCAAGAGAGGAAAGCTGCAGTCAGCAGAGCCAAGGAAAGAAAGCACCAGTGAAAAAAATACAGAAACCCAGGGAACAGCAGGTAGAAGAATTAGTCATGGTTGCTCTGCAGTATAAAATTTTACCTCCGATATACTGCCAAAAATACTGAATGATTTAATATAACATGTTATTCTAATGACACAAAATATGGGTTTCTAGGTTTTCTTCCTTTTATGCCCCTGTGTTTTGTTGACTTTTTACCTGGTTCCTGTTTCCTTAGATATTGGTAAGGGACAGCATTTTTAGAGCATTTTGCCAAGACTTACCCACGTGAGTCCTATTGACCTTGATCAAGGTCACAAGGTAAAATCCCCAGTCCTTACTTTTTAAATGAACTTGATCTTTTCAGACATATTTTCATCTGGTATTGCTATTCCACATGTGAGAATCATTTCTCTGAAAGGTTTGATTTATTTCTATTAATTATTATTCAAAAATATACCCTGTGAAACAATTGTAACTAAATACTAAACAAATGAAAACAGATGGTAGTGTAATCTATAGAAAGGATTTGGCCCAGGGGGATTAAAAAATATATTTATATATATATGTAATACAGGCAGAATTTTTTAATTGCCCAGAGAAAGTCAAAATGAAAAGTAACTGAAATAAGTTTTGCTGGTATCTGTCTGTTTTAAACATGTTTATACTTCTAAAATAAAGCATCTGTAAAGATAATCAAGAATTTAAATAGCAAAAATAAATATTTTTGGTCACTTAATGTGATATCTGGTTCCATATTAATAAGCCAAAATGAAGAAAAGATTTACTGGTGAATTAGGAAAATATGACATCTGGATGATAAAAGTGAGTTTGAAAATTTTTTAAAAATGACTTGAATAACTCATTAAAAGTTTCTCTCAGTTGTTGGGAAGTTTACAGCCGTTGTTCCTGTTGTTCTAGCATTATCTTTGTAGACTTTGTGCACCCAAGATCAAAACAGTTGGCCAATTTCATCAGCTCCTTTAAACAACGCATCTAAAAAGTGAAAAGAAATCTGTCTGATGACAAGCTCTTTCACCACATTAGAAGGGGTTTCTTTTGTTCTCATTAACATACACTATAAAGGTCTCAGAGTGGAGCCTACCCTGGAAAAGTAGGCCTCCAGTGCAGGAGATGAAAAGGTAAGGTCAAGTTCACCAGATTTTAATCACTCAAAAGTACCTCTGGCTGAAACAGCTAGTCCAAGATCCACATGAGGCAATGTGCTTAACACCTCTCAAACCTCCTTTTCAGCACAGATTACCCACTACACTTACAGCACCAGATGGATTCTTGAAAAAGTGTTGCAATGTAATCAGGCATCAGAGTTAAAATGAACTTTATAAACAGCACTAGGTCTAACTACATTTCCAAACCACTTTTGGCACATTTCTTTGGTCTCCTCCATTCATTTTGCCAGCAGTCGTTGATTTAAAAGGTTATGTGAATGTGTATATTTTTTTTCTAATGTAACATTTACAGAGAAAGCACTTATGTAAATAAACCTTTGGAAAATGAGGTTGTTATGATTAAAGCACAAATGTGGGCATTTGCCATGGAAAATACTGTTCTTTTGCTTTCATATTATGTTAAGAAAAAAGTTATTGAAATAAATTTCAAGTAAAAATTTTATGCATACATTTAATATTATAGGCACTCAATTTTCTCCAATATTATTAAAAAAGAAGTATATGAGTGCATTTAGACTGGAAATACCTATCACACTTTTTCTGGTACAAAGATCATTGGGAGCATACATTCTGTCACATCTTTATCATATATTTTCAATGTTAAAACACTAGAGCCAACTCTGGCTGCCAATTTTTACAATGCTAGGTAATTCCACAGGTATTGACATGTGTCACCTGGGTTGCAGCCACATTTGGCCAGCTCTTTGTGCTCACCAGGGAAGAATCGATCTGCAGCTTTCATCAGGTGGTAGAAATAGACCATTGGCATAAAAATTATTTTTAAAAATAAATAAGAGAATTTTCTGCCTGGGGACTATACCACTACTGTTCTCCAGTAATTTGAATTATTGAATGGACTACATAAAAGCCATTTCTATTCTTCTCTTTGTGCCCAGATGAACCAGCTGAAATGCAAGTTGATTTTTTAAAATTCTTTTATCCCCTCAGCTTGTTAGGATTTATCCTTGAATGTTCTGTTCTGTGCACTCTGCATGGAGTGCTATCACGTATTTATCTAGCAATCTCTAAAAAAAAATAGAGAGCTTTTAAAGAAAATAAAGGCTACAAAGCCCATAATATTTGCCAAACTATTAAACATGATGTGCAATTGTAAGGCTGCTTGGCAGAGAACTTCACAAAAAACCTGAAACTTTTCATTTTTATAAAGTCTTTTCTGATCAATGGCTTTAAAGCTCACTGTGTCTGCAAGGCAGCAAAATACGTGAATGACAAACAGAAAAATTTATGTAAACATTTTAATTTGATTTATATTTTATGCATATTTGTTAAGCACCTACTATGTGACAGAAACATGGTTTGGTGGCAGCGCAGACTATATTGTCTATTTCTTCATCTGTCCATTCAATACTAAAACATCAGCTCAGGATCAACTCCTCCTAGAGGTTTTTCTTGTCAACCACCCTCCCTACCCCCAATTAGGTGAAGTTCACCTTCTGGTGTCACCATGTTTGTATCTATGTCCTTCCACTAACCCCACTGGATTATAATTGTTTGGTGTAATTATATCCCATACTGGAAGGTTAGTTCTTTAAGTAAAGAACTCCACCTTATTCCGTGCTGTACAGAGACTATCACAGTGACAGAGAGTTGAATAAATGAATTAATTCAGTTGAGTAAATAATGAGTGAATTAAGATATAGTCAAGAAGCTTATCTCATAAAGCAGATGTATGGAGTTTATAACAAAATAGGGTAAATTTAGTCAATAGCCAAATGGAGTTAAAGAGCTACAGAGTTGAACAATAGAAAAGGTACCTTTGTACCTTTGTACAGTTGTAAGAAAAGGTGACTTTTGCAATCAACCATAAAAGATGAGTGGGAGTTCAATAAGAAGACAAGTCTTGATGGTAGAAGGAAACATCATAGGCAGGAACAACAAGAACAGGTCAGGAACAGAATAGTGTTTGGCAGGCAAGAAGGAGGCATAAAAACATAGTGATTAAACCTGCAGGCTCAAGGACCAGCCTCCTGAGGTTCAAATCCTGACAGTGCCAGCTTCTACTTCCATGACCTTGGGCAAGTTGCTTAACATCTTGTCTTGTATTTTTGTGTGTTTTTGCTTTTTTTCCACCTATAAAATGAGGATAACAATGGTAACTGCCTCATAAAATTTTTGTGAGGATTAAATGATTCAATACATGTAAAATCCTTAACACATGATGTGTATTGTAAAAAAAAACAGCTAATATTCCTTTTAGCTAATCACAAAGAGCCCCATGTCAGTAGCATGGAATATATGTGCAGGAAAATAATGGTCCATAGACCTTGAAAGGGGTGGTGGTCCCACTGTGGAAAGTATAAAAGTTCAGAATTCAAGAGACTGCACTTAATTTGTAATGCAATAGGGAGAGACACGATTGTATTGTGTTTTAAGAGCGTTCACCAGCAACGTCCGATGTCAGAAGGAGAGACAGGAGCACAGAGGGCCCAGTGGAGGCAAGGAGGTGAGTTAGAAGGTGTTTTTAGGACTCTAATTGAGATATTAGGACTTAGCCTAGAGTGTTGGGCATGAGAATGGGAAAAAAAAAATAGATGGATGCAAATGACACTGGAGAGGTGAAACCCAACGTGCTTGACAAATGCCTGGATGTGTGGGCCTAAGAAAAGAAGGAATTTAAGATGATGCCAAGGAGTTGAGGCTGCTTGATTAGAGAAATGCATATGTAATGAGCTGTGTTTTCCTCCTTATTTCATATTTAAATATCCTTTTTGACCTTGTTCAAGTCCTACCTTCTCTGTGAAGCCTCCTTTGATGACTAATAGCTTTTGCACAAATTGTCTCTACTTCCCAGCTAGTACATTATAAGCATCTTATCCTTTAATTATCCGCACTACATTATTTAGGATTTTGTCACCTCATAATATAATACAGTTCTGTTCAATTCAATTCAATGTACATTTGACTTGTTGGCCACAAATCAATCTTGTTTTCCATATGAATAGGAAAGCCCTTTGAGGATACAGACTATGTTGCGTGCTATCCAGCATAGCACTTAGAATTTATTAAATGTCAAATAAGTAATTAGTGATGAATTTGTTGCCCAAAGGGAGATCTTTGGAACTCTCCTCCAGAGAGTTAAATAACAAATGAAAAGGCTTTTTCTACACCTTATTTGGAGATATTAACAAAAAACATGCCTAGATTCATAGGCTTTTTTTGTGTTATGATTGACCACATGGTCCTATAGCACTGCTAGAATCAAAAGGTGAAACAAGCACTTTCTGCATAACAATAGTCTTCATAGATGAGTTTATTCCCAGTAAAAGTGATATATATTAGAGTTATAATGTGTCTATGTTAAAATATAATGAATGTTATTTAACTGTAAATTGTTTTCCACAATTCATGATATTTTTATACCCTTTATTAACAGATAATTTGCCCTAAAGTGTTTCAGTATATTCACATATTAGATGATTGGAGGAGGCAAAGAAAAAATCATTATAAAATCTGGAAAATGAAATAAAATATTAGAAAAGTAATTAAATAAACAAAAAAGATACATATTTGACATAACAAGCAACACAATTTCCAAAATACATGCATGAATTTGGAGAGTGAGATATTTGCTGTTCATTAGTAAGAGTGCTTTATAGTGTTAATATTAACAGTAATACTATAGGGTTTAAGGATATTCTGCTACTCAAAATACTGAAGTTTGTTTCATCATCTAACAACATGACTAATTGTGAAACTGGACTGGAATTCAACTTCCTGACAATAGCCTTCCATTTGTAATTAAAGTCACTTTGGTAAGATAAAATATTAAAATAAATGTACTGTGCATTGTTCTTATTCTTTTGTAAATTAACATAAGCACACATTAAAATGAGAAATTTAATATTGATAATTTTGACATATTGTTTTTGTTTCATTTTTTGTTTTGCTTTGACTTTCAGAAAGGAGAGTTAAACTCAAAGTAAAATAGTCTTTTTGAGAAGTAGATGACTTTTATCAAATCATAATAAAAAAATCCACTTAATCACTGAAATTTAGTAAAAGCTTCCTTCCTCTCTGCTCAAACTATATTATTACCTGAGATAATTAACTGTATGATATCCCTTACATATCCACCCCATGGCCATTTATAAAGCTTCTTAAGTTATTATGTAACTTTGCCATTTAATTTAATATAAATTCCCAAGACAGTTTTAAAATTATTTGGAATTTTTTTCAAAATAACTTTTAGTTTATTCATAGAAAGGGGATTTTTTTTATTATGCTTGGAAAATAAACTTCTCAGAAAGTGAGAATTTATTGGCAGGAACAGAGCATTCATCAGCACTCCCCTTGGAAATATTCTAGAAATTCTTATTAGATCATTAGAAAAGGTGATTAAGGGTGTTAAGCCTGGACTGATAACAAATGTCCAACAGCCTGGACAGTTGGAAATGTCAGTTATTTCACCTGCTTTTAATCAAGCTAATTCTCTGGTCCTGAACTTCTGCATCTATTTTCTAGGTAATTGCTGTGTTGTGGAGTTCTGTCTTCTTTCTTCACTGATATCCATCTTTACTACACCTACTAGTGTTGCAGTCATCTTGAGTTAGTGGCTCAAAGTAAACTTAGACCCAGACTATTGAAAGAAATCTTCACTTTCTAATCATTGTCAGGTGAGATGATCCTGGCCAAACACCAGCGACAACTATTTTTCTAACTTGTTTTTATTGTCTTACATATTTCATTTTTATTTGTAGAAGATATTCCATATACCAAAAAATTATCTAGCATTTCATTTAAATTCTGTAAAGAGTATATACAAACAAAATATCCCAAATGGACTTGTGTTACTTTCTTGTGACTACCACCTATGTTAGCCACTTGAAGTAATTACATAATAGACCTAATCAGGTGAGCTGAATTCTACTTTAGAATTACACACTGCTTTTATGAAAGTTCATTTTTGTTTTTAATCTACCTACGGATAAGGTTGCCAAGGTTTAGCAAATAAATAGAAATACAGGACACCCAGGTAAATTTGAATTTCAGAAAAACAAATACTTTTTGTATATGTCCCAAATATTGCATACCTTGTATTTTTATCTGGCCATCCTATAGGAAATTCATCAATTTGGCAAAGAAATTCAACAGTTTTGGAGTTTTCAAACCCACTGTCTAAAATAAATATTTACTTTTATATTGTGAAGAACAAAATTAATACACTTAAACAACTTCTTAATATTATGAACTTGATAGTTTAAATTTTCTTCTAAGTTATTATAAAAATTTTAAGGACTAATTGTTCATATTTATTTGACAAACACTGTGCTCTGGTGAAAGCTAGATATGATAATAAAAGCATTCCATCTTGAAAAAAAAATTCTCTCATCTTAGGGTGAACTAGTCGTGAACTATTGATTAGACTTTTAACTTGAAAGTATTCAGGCAGACATGACAACAGGAGCCCAGATGGCCAGGGTAGAGACCTTGGAATGGATGCATAAGCAAAACTGTTGCAAAGAAAAATAATAAAAGAAATACATAACCAAAATAGTACATACTGCACACAGTGATGCTGACAACATTTATATGTTCAAAATACTACATTCCTATTGTGCCCAATTTGCAAGATCTCAGCCTAATAAAATAATCATTCTTGTGTGGCTCATTTACATGCATAAATTTATAGTCCTTTATGGATTACAAAAGCACAGTAGACATAATGTATGTTGACTGAGTGTTGATTTCATCAGATTAATCAAGTATTTGGTAACTTAGAAATATCCAAATGGTCCAAATACAACACTTACGAATGCTATGTCAATATACAGAAAATCCGTTAAAGTAAGGAATTAAGATATTGTTCGCTGGTTTAGTGTAGACAAATTCTGTACACTGAATTTGATAGCCAAGAACTAGAAATACTGACATCATTTATAAATGAGAAAAGGACAGTTTTATCAAGGAAAATCATAACTTTATCTCATGTATAAATACAGAAGTAAAAGTTTAAACAATAGATTTACAAAAGGAATCCAAAATAAACACCGTGCCCAAGTTGGGTTTATTTTAGGAATGCAAATGTACTTTAACATTGAAAATATATTAAAACCACATGAACAGATTAAAAAAGGAAAAGCACAAGGTCATCTAAGAGATGTGGAATGGAAATTTTATGAAATTCAACAGCTCTTCACTTAAAGAAACAATGGAAAACGAATAGGAAGGAGCTTCTTAGCTTGATAAAAGATAAGTACCAAAAAGCTTACCACAAATAACTTCTTAGTGGCAAAACGTTAAATATATTCCCTTCAAAATCAGGAATGAGTCAAGGATGCCAACCATAGAAACTTTTATTGAGGATCCTTTCCAACACAGTAAGAAAAGCAAATTAAATTTAAGGTATGAGTATTTGAAGAATATTTAAACTGTTACCATTCATAGATAATGTAACTGGCCACATAAAATATCCAAAATTATCTACTAATTGCTAGAATAATAAGAATTTAGCAAGATAGCTTGATATAACATCACTACACAAAAATAGATGATATCTCAAAACACAGGCAACAAACTGAAACAATGTTTAAAACAGAGCAAGAATGAGAGAGACTATTTACAATAATAACAGAAACAAAAGATGTAGAAATGTGTGTAGAAAATTTTAACATTATTGAAAGACATTAAAGAAGATCTAAATAAATAGAGGGATATTCCATGTTCTAGAATATCATGACCCAATATGTTAAAAGTATATTTTTTACTCTCCTCAATTCCTACCATCTCCCCTTTTATCACCCTAGCCTAACCAACCAGCATCTCTTAGTAATCTCTCAACTGGTCTCCACACTTCCACCCATAGCCTCAGAACATGCTAATCCTGTGCTCAAACTCTCTCAATAGGTTCACATTTCACCAAGTAAATGCTAAAATCCTTAAAATGGCCCCTACACATGCTAGGCAATCTGGCCCCACAATTCCCTCTCAATCTCTTCTCCTGTCACTTCTTCACTCACTTTGCTCCTGACATTACATCAATAGCTTCCTAGCTATTCCTCATACATACCAGGGTCCTTCCTGCTCTGGCTATTTCTACTACATCACTAAAGCTCTCACCTACTTCAAGTCCTTGCTTAAATTCTTTCTCAAAGAAGTCAACCCTGACTATTTAAAATTTTAACTGGTTCTCTGTTACAAGAGTCCCATCTCACTTTATTTTTCTCAATGACACTTGTTACTTCCTTATGTACTACATAATTCACTTATTTATTATGTTTATTGTCAGTCTCCGCCCTAGTAGAACTTAACCTTCATGACAGCAGGGATTGTTTTTTTTAATTGCTAGATCCATAGCACAGTCAACAGTTCTTGGCACATAGAAGGCACTCAATAAATATTTGTTAAACTTGCTTTTGGAATAAATTTGGTACTTTATGGTATGATTCATACCATTCATATTGTTTGATCGCCTCCCCTCTCAGAAATAGCCTTTTTTGTTGTTCTTTCTTTCGTCCATTGTCTTTCTGTGTCATTTTTGTCATAAAGTGGGTTACCATAGGGTAGAACACAGGCCTAGCACTTCTCTAACCCTGATGTTCGAGCCCGCCCTGCACACTATCCAGTTACACAGTTCTGGCTAGACTGGCACCTATTAAAACAAACATTGCCATAGGTCCCCCAAAATAAAAAGTGTATGAGGTTTCCCTCTTGTCCTGTTTCATGTCCCTGAGATTGTCTGGTGACCGAATGGGAATTCTCTCCTCGGTCTCTGCCATCAGGGACGAGTATTTTCAAGAACACTTCAGGTGGCCAATCTGAAAAGACTGGGAGTCTGAGACACTAAGATTCTAAGCAGCACACTCTTTGTACCGAAAGTGACAAGCTCTAAGGGAAGTCTTTGTCTTGAAATGTCCTACCTTCTTTGCTATTTTGTCTATTTCTGAGAGTGAATTTTTGGGAATCTTGGAAACTGACTTCTTTGTGCCTTCTCCAGGCTAAACCTGGAAAATTACTACTGGGTTTTCTATGAAGAGCCATGGGATGGAGTTGCTTTTGGAATAAATATACCATTGAGATTAGTGGCCAAAAGACAGGTCCTTTAAATTAAAGGACTTCTAAATTTTTAAAATAAATTTTAGAGATCTTTTATTCAAAAAATTGCTTATTTGTATTAATAAAAGAAATTAGATTAGAAGAAAGACACATATAGTGTTGTGGCTAGCCTTAAAAATTCTCTTGACAAAATTGAAGAGCAAATATCTGATCTAAAACAAAGATAAAAAATCTTTTTCCCTGTGGGAATAATGGCAAAGGCCAATTTGCCTCATAGGCTAATGGTTAAAGTTCTGTGCTTTCACCTCAGTGGCCTAGGTTTGATTCCCAGGCAGGGCAAAGTTTGTTCTGGCATTTGTGTAACTTTCTCCATTTACTGATTCTCTTCACTTCCATGCACTGTATTCTGTGGAGGTACATGGGGCTTTTAGATATTTATTTACGAATGGTCAGCTGAAAAGCTGGGATGCTGGAAAATATGAATGAAAAAAATTGTGGGTTGCATCTTTTTATGACTAATGAGACTTTTCTTTCTTTGAGCTGTTTTTGTGTGGCTTTTCTAGATCTTATAAAAACTGTTCTCCACCTCTTTAAAGACAACTCTGCTTCCTTAATTAAGCTATCACCGTTGTTAAGGCTTACTGGTTTCTTCAGTTTAAAAGTCCAAAAGCAAAAATATCAGCTGTTTCTCCCAGCTAAGTTTGCTCCATTCATCTTCACTCCTTTCTACTCCTTCCTCTTTTGCCAATCACAGAGTTTGGGCCAAAGGCAGCCAACTGTTTAAACTGTATAAGCAAGACAAATGCTGAGCTGTAACCAATCCAGCTGTTTCTATACCTCACTTCCATTTTCTGTATGTCACTTTCTCTTTTCTGCCCGTGTATTTTCTCAGCATTAGAGTCTCTCTGAGCGTGTTCTAGTTCAGCTGCCCAATTTGTGAATTGTTCTTTGCTCAATTACACTCTGCTAAATTTAATTTTTATCAAAAGTAGATTCTGAAATAGAGCTCCCAGAGATCCTAGGAGCACTGAGAGTCCAACTGAGGTACAAGTCAAAAAGTTAAAAGAAAAGGGGCCACAGGGACCCTGTTTGGCGCAATATACAATTTATCTGATATTATAGGTCCATTAGCAATAGGAGTGTCAGCAGAAATTAAGAAATAAGATTTCTAATTTGTGTCAATTGCATCGCACACTCCAAAGGCATATTTGGAGTCTGTGTAAATAGTGGCAGCTTTTTCTTTTGACAATACGTAAGTTCTAGTGAGGGCTCAGAGACAAGTGGCCAAGCTTTCGGTGACAATCAGACTCTATGACTTGATTCCACAGATGGCGTTCTTGCACCTCTTAGATGGTGCTGACACTAACCCTCATGATGTCAACAATTGTCAAATCACCAGATGTTACGAGCAGCTCACAAGCCAGGCCTATGCAACTTGGAGTAGTTTACTCCCCTTGTTAAATTGCCAGATGCTATGTGGACAGTCCAAAAGTCTGGACTGACAGGGTTAAGTGACAAAACTAAGCTCTATAACTGCCAGAACCCGAGCAAAGGCTTTTAATATCAAATATTTCATAACCTGTTCTGTTCCCATAGACTGGCAGAGACACGTGGACACTGGAGATATGGAAGCGCCAATAAGGAAGAAGAGGCACAGCAAACTCTAGACTGGAAGGTCACAGGGTCCAACCTGAACCCATCTGTCAATTACACTGGTCTTTGTATTGTATGTGGCAATATAGTATATAAGCGGTCCCCACCTAGATGGACAGGACGCCCTCTGGTACTCGGTACTCCACTTAAATGCCAGCCAAATTATAAATTGGGCTCTTTTGTTCATAAAATGGTACCAAGCAAACATACCGGACATGATATTATTAAAAACCCACTTGTATAGCACAATTCTAAATTCTTTTTGGTGCTCAGGACTCTTTGCCAGGCATTTGGAGCTCACAAGATTAAAAAGGCAGTTTGAATCTCTCCATGGTACAATAATATCACCGTGTAAGTAAGCACTGGGAGCACTTTAGTTAGAAATCAACAAACTAGCCTCTGTTGTATCTGAAAAACTGCTGCCTCCTGGATGCCCTGACAGCCCAATAAGGAGGAGCTTGTGTGATTATTGGTGCAAATGCTTCTCACCCAGGGCAAGTAGAAACTGTGATCTATACTAAAAGATAAGATAAATATTTGCCATCAAATTAATGAAGACCTATTTCCAAGAATGGGAGACTGGTTTAATGGGGTGTGGAATAATGTGCTTAGATCTGTTCTTTTCTACTTAGTCCTTCTCAGTCTAATCTATGTTCTTGTCTCCATTTTCAGATCTCTTATTACTTCACTGCTAACCAGTTGCCACAGCTACCACCTTAGCTTATAATGTGTGAAACTTCTAGGAGAGTTCCAGACAGAGGGAATGAAGGAGCTCAGGAAATTTCACCCCAAAATATGAACTGTTGGTATAAAGAAAATTTGAATTGCAGAGCCCTAGAGATCAACAAAGCATTGGAGAGAGCTTTCTCTCTGTCTGCATAAACTGGGCTGACCTCATCAAAAGATCAAAGGAGAGATTGACTGCCTTTCCTCTCCATGTTATCTCAATATATTGCAGGAAAGAAGAAGATGAAAAATGCAAGCAGACATGGCCCAAATTATTTAAAACACCATACCTGTCTCTCAGTTTAATTTAATTTGCAAAGAGAATCATTTACAAATTAATCTGTCTCCCCCATCTATTTGTCCACCTAGCACCATTTGTCACCTCTAAACAGAATTACCTATACTACACATTTCCCCTCCCCTACAAAAACACGTATATAAAAATATCTGAACTTCACTGGGATATTGGGTAATCACTATGTGATTCTACCCATGCGCATGGTGTTAGTAATAAACCTTTCTCTTATTAATCTGCCTTAATTGTGAGTTGATCTTTTAGTGAACTTTGGGGAGAAAGAGCAAGTTTCTCCTCACTCCTACAGAATGAAACGTAATTTAGATTACAATGAGATAGGAATTATTAATTAATTAATAAAATCATTTTTTAATTATTATATATATCCATTAGAGTGAAAAAATTAAGAAATACAACAACCCAAGGAAGATGTAGAACATCAGGAACTCTTACACATTGCTGCTGAGACATTGTAAATTTGGACGTTTTTTGTTGAGGCTACCTTGCAAAGTGAAACATTCACATGTTCTGCAAACAAATAATTTTACTTTTATGAAGGAACCCTAGAAAACCTCTTGTATATATGTACTAGAAGACACATGCAAGAATACTCACAATGATACAAATTAATAATAAGATATAGAACCTACACAGATGTACTTTGACAAAGGAATGGATAAATTAATGATGTCATATTTATGGAAGCACATATGACAAAGCAGTTAAAATGAAGGAAACACAGCTATTTGTAAAAATATGGATGCATCGAAAAATATAATGTTAAATTGAAAAGTCCTGTAAAACTACATAAAATATGAAACTATTTTAATAAACTCAACATAAGCAAAATTGAGCCCTATATTCCCTTTGGTTTACATACATATGTCAAAATAAGTAACTACGTATATGTGTTTGTGTGTGCATGTGCATATGTGTGTTTGTGTATAAAGAAATAACTGCAATAGTTTTGTGGAGAAGCAAAAGGATGAGATAGTAAAGTGTGCATGAGTAGGTGCAAGTCATGTTAACATTTTAGTTGTTGAGACTGTTGATGGATTTACCAGAGTTTATTATATTATTTTGCCAACATATAATTATATATATATATTTTAAATATATCAGATATAATTTTCATATATTTTAAAATATTTATATATTTTAAGACAAAAAGTAATCAAAGGAAAAGGAACTGTGAAATGTCCATAGCACTGTTTTGCTTGTTTTAAAAATAGTCTCTGGTGTTTGGGTGCGTTAGCTGAAAATTGTATATTCTGCTTCCCTCTCAAAAATTCTCAGAGATTCTTTGGCACCCAGCTTTCCGTGGTTTGTAATATATTCTACTTAGAGTTTTATTTTATTTTTTAATAGATAGGGTCTTGCTTTGTTGCCTGGGTTATACTGCAGTGACAGCATCATAGTTCACTTCGACTTCAAACTCCTGTGTTCAAACAATCCTTCCACCTCAGCCTCCCTGAGTAGCTGGGACTACAGGTGCACACCTCCACGCCTAGCTAAATTTATTTATTTATGTATTTTTTTTTGTAGAGATGGGATCTCATTCTTGCCCAGGCTGGTCTGGAAATCCTGGCCTCAAGTGATCTTCCTGCCTCAGCCTCCCAAGGTGCTAGGATTACGGCGTAGGTCGTCACACCTACCCAAGTTTTGATCTTTCGAACTTCTTTAAGAAGTCTCAGTTCATCTTTCAAATCCAAATTTTCTACTTTGGCATTTCACTTTGCTGTTTTTATTAGCAGAAATGACCTTCCTGAATTACCGTGACATAGAGGAAAAAGGAAAAAGTAACATGAGGAGGTGTTCGTCTTAACCAGCTTATCCATGACCCATTCATACACATGATTCAGCTGTGCTTATTCTCAACCAGAACCCTCTGGTTATTTTAATGAGGGATAGCCTGTTCTTACAGTTCTGTCACATTTTCTGATCTATTCCAATTGCCTAGATGGAACTAAGAATGTGGCCACAGTGATAGGTGGCCATGAAGTTTTTGTAAGAGACATTTTCTTCTTCAAGGCAGACAAAATGCTTGGAATAAAGATTTTTTTTAAAAAAAACTAAAGCTTATTTCCACTGCATTATGTATTTTGATGTATTCCTAATGTATTCCTTTTCAAAACATTGCTTCACTGGAGTAGAGGCAAAGACAGAATGAGCAACAGTTGCTGTTTTATGCACACCAAGTACCCATTTTTAAAACTCTTAAAAATGCAGCAGTGCAATTTAAAAAGAGCAAGTGATATGGTTGCTTTTTTAAAGAATATGTATTCTCTGTGGCTACATTTACCAGACACAAAATATGCAAATTGCACAATACATGAATTTGGCTATAGCTAGTTTCTTTTGAAACTGGCTAATACAAAGATATTAAATTCATTTATTTATGCACTAAATACAGATTTCTTAATACACAGCCAACACTTCTTTTGCAGCTATTCAACAAGGTTGCATTTTACATCAAGATATATTTAAGATGTTGAAAAAATCCATACAACAATATTCTTTGGATCAACAATAGTTTTATTAATTATTAGTCAGACATGTTTTTTTCTTCACTTAAGTCCTCTCCTTGACTTTCTGTTAAGTACCTTAAAAATTTCCAGGTAGGTGTGAATTTGCCTTGCCTGTTGAAGTTGAATCATTTTATGTGTTTGAATTACAAATTGAAGGAGGCTAAGGTTTTATTAACTCATTTTTGTGTTCAAATGCAAAAGTTATGGAAATTATTCTATGCGCATAGTCTATGATTGCTCCTTTTGAGTCCCATCCGCCTCTTCTTTTGAAGTCATTGTTGTCTACAGATGAGAAAAAAAACAACATGTCCTAATAGCTAAATCATTTTTATATTCAAGAAAAATATCTAAAATGATTTTTAAAAGAACCATTCTCACACAAAAATAAATCATCTCTGGTAATTTATTTTCTAAAAGAGTTGGCTTTTATGTTTATGCAAGACTGACTTCTTACTAAGCCTTCACTCCAAGACATTTCACAATGGAGGTCCCTAGTGTTTGCCCTTGTCATTTTGCAGGATTAATTTGATCCACTGTCATTCAACTAAACTGCCTTGTATCTCTTGTTAGTGTGCAAGCGTTAACTAAGCCTGAGTATTTGTTCTTTAAACTTTATAAAATGGCTCTTCCATTCACACTCAGGCCATACCATTCATCATACCTTCAATGGCTGGGGAAAACGTGCTGTCTTTTTATGGTCTTTTTAATGCTCTGAAAGATCATTTGTTAAAGGAGAGGTTTTGAAGGAAGTATTGTCCTTCTGGCTTAAAGTTTATGATTTTTCAGCATTCAGTATAAAAATAGCACATTCACAACCAGATTTTTTAAAAAGTAAAAGAATAGAATGTTTATTTTGAAAGCTTAGAGAGAAGAGTAGGTATATAGCATAAAGACAAAAGCAAAATGGGATGCCAAAAGGGTAAGAAAGGAAAGGAAACCTCAGAGATGAATTGTAGTAAAGAGAAGTATTTAACATTACTCTCAGACTATATAAATTTATTTTTTACCAAAATATTAATTCCTTTGAACTGTTCCAAAAACATGAGAATCTAAAATTGATTCTCACTCTTGAATCCAGTGATTAGCATTTCATGAGCTTCTGCCCCCTCTTGGTGACTCTTTCCTTACTAACATTAGTTATCAAGACACTTGGCATTTTTTCACAGCATGCATGAGTCACAACACAGACACCTTTATTCTCAAAATAAATGGGTATTGAACTTTGAATAAAACATGCTGCTTTTATCTCAATCATGAATTTGTGAGTGTGTTCCTCCTCTTTCTTGGTCTGTTGTCAGATTGCCTTCAAATGACAGCTTATTCTCTTATTCATTTCAGGTTGAAAAAGGATGGACCAAGGATTTGCCTTTGGAAGCATCTGTCCGTGAATGGGAAAGGATTAAGAAAGAGGTACCATTTGGTGCACTAAGATTTTTCCAGAGCCCCAAGTCATTTCTATTAGGCTACATTTCTAAGAGATGCTAGGTTCTAAGAAATTTCACAAAATATACTTGTCTTCTGGTAAACGATTTTCATTTTACTGGAATATGTGCCAATCAGAAACCGTATTTCTAAAAAAAATATGGAAATATCTTAGTCAAAAAAAGAATATACTCCATTTTGACTATTTATTGGCTATTATAATATTCATAGGTATTACGTATCTACTATTCATTTCCACACAGGAACTGCTACACTTTAAGGTGAGTAATAAAATGGCTATTTTTATTTCATTTTATTGATTAGGAAATGGAAACAGGGAGTCATCTGTTAAGTCATACAGAAAGTCACTGGTAGAATCGCAGTAAGACCTGGAATCGCCTGAGTTTTCACCCAGGACTATTTTATTTATTCATCTATCCAGTATCATTGATTAAGTACCTGTTATGTACCAGATACTGTCCTGAGGCCTGAGAATAACACAATGCTGCCTTTTATCTTATTGCTAACTGTATATAAAGATATCAATGAGCAACATATAAATGAAAATATATTACTAGAAGTCAAAATGTTTCAAATGAAACTGAAACTACCAATATTATCAGCCCATTTTCCTTATTATTAATCATTATTGATTTAATTTGCCAATATAATTAATTCTCTTTTAATTTAACTGTAAGTTCCACAAGAATAGGAACTACCATCATCTTCATTATTCCAGCTTCCAACAAAATGTCTATCAAATAGTAGGCGCTTGCAGAATATATTTGAAGAGAACTAAGTATTAATAGTAGTTTCTCTTTACTCACTGATACTTGCACACTGTACTACAAATCAATCAGCCCCACGTAAAGCTGATACTCAGCACAAGTAGAGCACAGGTCACCGTTGTCGCTGGCATCATCCCTTCATCTCCAGCATTCTACTCAACTCCTCAGATCCTCTCTTTCTCCACGCCTCTACAGGGGGTCCCATGCTTCCAGGAGCCTTTTCCTAACCTAAATCTTAAATGATAGTAATATTTATTGTAAAGGAATATTTATTTCATATTTGATTGTGTGGCTCTTGAAAAGTTCCTAGATCTATGTAGTAAATCCCTAAAGCCAAAATTTCAAATAGAAGCTGAGAACAAATGTCTGAGTAAAGAACACATACCATCCACCACCAATCAATTAAAATCACAATTTACAAGATGCCGCCTCTTGATTAATCTGACTTTGGTCCTCTGCTGA